CCAACTTTTTAATGACTGATGATTAACATGCTGTAATACACAGTTTAAACTTAAAAGCTCAAATGCTCTATATGAGAGGTTAAGCTTTATTGGCTCCTCCTCGCGGTTTTACAAGGTGATTCCGGATACTTTCCGGTATGACGTCAAATGACACGTTACACCGCGTGATACTGCGTGATACTGATTTTTGATGCGACACGCCCACTGCGTTGTACCGTGAAGTACCCCACGCATTTTAAATGGCTGCATCTGTATGTGCAGTTTAATTAATGAGGCATTCTTGTTTTGTTAGCATAAGGCATGGTCTAAGGACTAAAACATCTGTAGTGAGCTCCCTTTTACTTATAGATTTATCAATAAAGGATAGTAACGTGGTATTGATCAATGACAGATATATTACTATGTTTTTTATGTCACTTTCCATTTTCATTTTCAATAATGAGATCACTTTGTACGTTTAGAGTCCTATGAATGTCTTAGAAATGACCATGTTATTAACAGATATGTGGAAAGAACACTAAAAGCTTAATAATGGTAATTTTGGACACAACGTTTAAACTTTATTAAAGATCAACGGTTTCTGTGAGTGATGTCATGACAGGAAATGCTACATACTGCTCAATTACATTCAGAATACAACCACACGGAATTAATGTGCATAAGATGAGTAAATATTTGTGAAGCACCACAGTATTGCTGCCTATTATTATTAGTACTTTCAAAAATACATAGGAATTGCACTCTTAATTTTGCTCATTCTTTCATTTATATACGGTACTGTGTATAGTCTCTATACAAGGGGTGGCCAGCATGGATCCTGTAGAACCACAATTAGATAGGTTTTACATGTGACTGTTGGGTTTTAAATTAATTTCCAAATTTTAAAATTTAGACCAGTCAAGCAGATAACCTGTTAAAATTTATCACAGTCTGTAGCTGTCAATGACTCACTTGTACAGTATCTCTCAGTTAATATACTAAACTGGTCAAAACTCATAGTCTCTACATTTGTTTGCCTGTTTGGCTTTCCTGCATTAAAATTATGCATAGGTGCCATTCCTACTAGAGATTCTTAATCAGTCACCATATCAGAAACTTTAATTTCTTCACCTTATAAGTTACATATATAAATGAAACTGAACTGAAATTAAATTGACTTATTTGAACGTGATAAGTAAACATAATACTGAGATTTATTTAAGCAAGTGCACACCATCACATTAGAGCAGGCATCACAAGTCATAAATCTTTGTAGACCCACTGACCTTTTGAAGAGTTTAAAAAGCAATGTAATATAAGTTATTTGTTTAAGTGGGATACAACATTTAAATGTATAGGGAGGGAGTGAGACAGAGAATGCTGTAATAAATACACTTTCCTAATGAGTTAGTAATTTTTTGCAATTACACAATCAGCAAAAGCTCCCCAATCATATGAAAACATGACACTCACATGTCTTATATCACTCATTAAAAGCACAAGCTGTGATAGGCATACTAAAATACTACAGCCAAGGTATTGTGTCAATGCAATACTTTGTATTTACTGGGTTATTTTCAAATTCAGTGAAAAAATCACCCCAAATTAATTACCTCTCTAAAGTTTTTCAAAAACAAAACAGATTAAATAATAAAGTCAGAAAGATATGCATAAAATAATCATAAGAAATCCCATCCGTAAACATGTAATTCACAAGTCAATAAAACAAAAAACCTCAGAATACAATTGAGAACATAATTCTGTCAACAACCTACACCTCAGATAATTCAGTTTCTCAGAAGTGAATTTTTGACATTGACTCCTCTGGCTTGTATGAACATTTTTAAAATACTGTTTTAAATTTATAGAGGTCCAATATACTGTACTGAACACTTCTAATAAAAATAGGAGATAATGGTATAGATACTGTAAGCAACAAGTTATTGATCACAGTAAACCAACACTGCATAATTATAATACATTTTTTACATCTATGAAAATGCATTTCTAAGTGCTCTATGAAATTAATTTCACTAATAAAACTAATCTGACAACTGCTAATATGCTTTGAGAGCAGCACTGATTTTCCAAAAATGTTACAGAATTCAAAATCTTGTACTGATTTAATCAGAAAATCTGATTCACTGCCCAAAAGGCACTCCACCCTGGACACAACAGATGCATCTGTTTGACTCTTTCTATATAAATGATTGAATTTACATATTGAAAGAAAGGTCCTTGCTTTTAGTCAAGCACAGAAGTTATTAACTCAGAACTATACTGTATATTTCAGTTGCACAGCCCTGACTCATAAAATATATATGGGGAAAAATATGAAACATTATTTAAGACAAAATTTCTTCAAGCAAGCTTTGAGGATGAGAAGAAATTAAAATCAAATTATACATATATTAGGTAAGGCAACAAAATCTCACAAACATTTACCTCCCACCATTTCTAGTTAGCTGTCTTTGAAAAGACCCAACAGAAAGCGACTATTTGAACATAGACTTTGTTCTCCCTTTATGTCAAATCCCTCTCAGAGAGCTCCTGGTTGATGGGAAAAAAACTGTGTTGGCACTCCACTGACTTGCTCATTTTTTACTTGAAGACACTGTTTTCAGAGGACAAAGAAAAAAAACACATAAGCAACAAGCAGGACTTAAAATAACGTTACTGAATAGTGGTCAATATGGACCAGTGGCATCCCCCAAAGATTATTATTGATTTAACTATTTGTTGGGTCTTTCTCCATCCATATTTACATAATGGCTTAATTGCCCTGACAGTTCTCATCTCTTTTAGATTTATAATTTCCCTTTTTGGGGGGAGAATCCTGTTTTTTATCTTGGTTTTGGTCACAGGGTAGCTTACTATTAGTGTTCTCAAATGACGATGAACTTCCCATTATGCTTTGCTGTCCTCTTCCTTTGTTTGGATGCTGTTGTCACTGTGAACTTTGACCTCGATTGCATCTGGCTTGAGAGTTTCTTTCCCATTTTCTTCTTTTAATGGTAACTTCCTAAGGAAAGAAAGTCAACTTTTTTTAGGATAGGAGAATCACAAATTAATTATTTTTGACATTACATCCAATTGACAATATAATTCAATCAGTTGATCTTTTGTACAATGCTTTAAATAGTAATGTAAAATAAGAGAGAGGGTCAGTACTCACAAAATTGATTATTTTTTGTACAGATGTAATCTTACAGTTCAATAAAGAAGCACAGATGATACATTTAAAATGTATTTTAAACTAAATTGAAATTAATTCTGTCAATAAAATATATCATAATGTTTTCAAGGTACTGCATAATTCTCATAATACCCATAGAATGTATACCAGAATAAACTTCATACTGTTTAGCAATTCAAAGTCTTTTTTCTCCGGGGAAATAATCATTAAAATGCTCCAGGCTTTCCTACTTAGGAACTTAGGAAAACATTAATCCTACAGCACTAAGGCAAAGCATTAAGCCTGCCTTGAGACACATGAAAGAAGAGAGCTCTTGATGTGTTAGGGTTCACACTTCAAACCTTTACAAGTTTCTTTTGTAATAAGTTAGAACATTGACAAGACAGCATGGTAAATTTCACATTAATTTTGGCTTTTGTTACTAAGGGAAATTGTTTGAAAAGGATGGTGACACACTTCTTATTGTTTTAGAGGAAGGTGTAATCATTCATAGCCATTCAGGGACGCCAAATATGTAACGTTGCTTTGGTAGCCATACCCATCTCAAGATCTGGAACCGAATTCAATCTTGGATTGCCTTCTGGGTGAGCTATGAG